GCCCATAGGCGCGGCGCTAGCCCGTCGCGTAGAGGTCGAGCAGGCGATCCGCGCGGTCGTCTCCACATATTTTTTGAACTCACTTAAAGCTACACACTGTGCTGGTTGCTGATACTGGTACATTCTTTTCAGATCGTGGAGAAAATATGGGTTTGGGGGGAGAAGATCCCTGCTCAAGTTTTGACTTGAGCAAATCATTCTCATACTGTGATGCTTCTTCCTTCTGCAGATATTAATCAATGGCTAACACTGCCAGATACTGATTTAGAGGCTTGGGATAAAGAGTGAACAAACAAACACACCTATTTGCTCTCATTAATTCCATGACCTGAGCTATTAGCCCCACTGAGCTTATAATTTTTTATTAATAAATTGTGAGTGGTCATTGCTGAGTGAAGGAGAAAATGGATGGTGAAACAGGCTCTATTGATTCCTGACAGAACTCTCTTTGCACCCACCACTGAAGTACATGCCAAGGGTAATCTGCTACAATCACCTCAGGTTATCTGTCTGAGGGCTCTCTCCAAGAAAATGAGCGTGACAGGTCAGAAGCCCCAGGGAATTAAAGCTCCAGGATGAGTGCTTAACCCCTGACAGAGGCAGTTCCCTGTCCCCCAGCAGAGACATCTCTGATATGTGTTCTCCACTGTCTCCTGGAGATCCCTAGTACATCGAACCTCAGTTGCTCTACAATGCAGGTGTCATTGATTTCCCCCTTCCCTTCCCACTTCTCTCTCCTAATGGTGCTTCCAGGGAACCAGTTCCTGAATGAGCCACCTGCTCTCTAATTTAGTGTCAGGGTCGGTTTCTGGGGAAAACCACCTGGACAGAGGAGGAAGTGGTTTGTGAAATGTGAGGACCTGAGTACATGTCAGGGACTAAGCCCTTTGGAAGGAACTCAAGCTCATATCTTAGTCAGGTTCCAAGTCAAATTACTGTTACAACCTCTCCCCTTCAGAATATTTTGAGTGACTCCTACTTTCTTCTTAGGTGAATGTTTGTGATGATACAAGTGACCCACCTGGGATCCTGAAGCCCAGCTCATCTTGGGAAACCTGCTGGGCCTCCAGAGCACGTGGGGACAATATTCACCCTTTGCTAGGTGAGAATAGGATGTCAGGTGCCCACCCCACCTCTGGGATCATGATCTAAAGATCCACTCTTACTGTCTCTTGTGAAAACATTTCTGGCAAAGTGAAGATCTTCCGTATGGCCACTCCACGTCATAGCTATGGCCCACTCCACTCTCAATCCAGTGATTGCCTGAGGTGCCAAGAGAGGGCTTAGGTCTTTTGTTGCGATGTTCTCCAAAATATCCTGGTTTTAATGGATCTGCTAGCATTCCACATATCTAAATCCTCTTGATTTAGTAAAACTTTCAAAATTCTCCCCTACCACCAATAATTCTAACAAGTTACATTTTCATATTATGCTTTGGACCAAGGGCTGGCAAACTATGGCCAAACCTTGATGACCAACCTGTGTACTAAGAATGTTTGAAAAATTCAAAGAAGAAGACTATTTCATGACATGAAAATTATATAAAATTCAAGATCTGCAAAGAAGTATGTACATCCAGGTACATGAAACTCATAGGTTCCAATACAGATTCAACTGTAAAAGGACATCACTTACCACGCTGTAATAAAATTGTCAAAAATGAAAGACAAAGAGAATATGTAAGCAGATGACTGATCAAGGGGACTCCCACAAAACTATGAGCAAGTTTTCAGAGAAACTTCACAGTTCAGGAGGCACTACATGATATATTCAAAGTGCTGAAAGAAAAATAGTCAAGAATAATTTATTGGGGAAACCAAGATGGCGGCATAGGTAAACACCGGAGTTTGCTGCCTCGAACAACCACTTCAAAAATACAACTAAAAGACGGAATGGACATCATCCAGAACCACAGGAAGGCTGGCTGAGTGGAAATTCCACAACTAAAGGAAAGCGGAAAAGCATACCAAACTCAGAGGAGGCGTAGTGCGGAAGTAAAATACTAAGGTGCAGAGGTGCATGTGGAGTGGGCTGGAGGCTAAGGGCGCGGTTGTCATTTTCAATCGGGAGGGAGTCTCAGGCTCTGAGCTCCAGTTCTGGGTGAGTCTCTAGGGAACCACACACACAC